GTTTACTTTTCGCACAAATATTTTTTAACTTGAAAATGGTGCCAGGATGACACCGAAACGTCGTTGCTCAGTTTTTTCGCTAATCTTTATTGTTAAAAACTTTAGACATGACAAAAAATATAATTAACAGGCTATATCCAAGATACTTCGGAGTCTGGCTCCAGTTATTTAGAAAGTGGATAAACGTTATCCTGGGGACAAAATCACTATCCAGTGGAGAGTGTAACTTGTTTTGTCAACACTTGTCCACTCGATAGCGAATTCTCCGATGGATATCATTATTCTCCTTTTTGAACTGACGGAACTTGGTGCTAAACCTAAACCTGCTAAGCATGAAAAATGAGATTACCATGTTCACCTTCTTGCAAATAAAACTAATTTTCTTAAGTTTTGCATCAGGTTTAAACAAGTTAGTCAGGCCTTGTCACGCATTGACGACTTTCTTGATAATTTTCTTCGGGGCGGGGGAGAGGGGATTTAGAAAGTTGGTGTGTTAATCTCGTATCCCGGCCGGTTGTCAGTCAGTAATAGTTCTTGTCTTAGATATTTCCCCAAATTTCGTTGCACTGGTACGAGTATTCCTAACTGTACTACGATAAAAACATTGTTTTCGAGACAGTCTCTGTGAAGAATGAATTTGACTGGAGCCCTTGGTCAGCTTGCACAAAGACCTGCGGTGTTGGATCATACCGCACGCGCGAGAGAACCTGTTCCCTATCTATACCGGAGGACTTTAAGAAGGTGTGCATTGGTTCTGATATTCAGAAGGTCCCTTGTATTGTACCCTTTTGTCCAAGAGCAGCAACAGTAATTCCCAGTTCCACTCCGCAACAAGGGAATGCCATGAAAACAAGTAAGTGAGGTTTTCGTGTAAACTTAGTCTCCTTCACTTCGCTGAGTGTGAGATGTTAGACGCACCTTCTCCTTGGCATCGAATAAGGAGAACCAGTTTGAGTTGGGTGCAAACCAGGAAACACTCTAAGGGTCGTAAGAGGAATCAGATCCTATGAAAGGGGGAACTCTCCAAAGTTTTTGGTGGGAGTGTGCGGCCCGAGCCTTGAAACCTGTACCCTGGGCATATCTGGAGACAGTGTCTTAAAGCGTCGCCAAACGCAACGCCATTTCAATACAAAATGTTGCAATATAGTTGCGCACAGAATGTTGTATACGTGGCCAAATGTAATGAAAATATTGTTCTTAACAACGTTGCAATTTGATGTACTGAAATGTTGTGCGCGTTTGGCCGAGCCTTTACTCATGTTTTGTGATGATATTTTTCATCTCATTCGAGTAACATCTGTTTTTCTCTATGCTTATTATCACACACAGTTTCAACTCTTTTCCTGAAACCCGCAAATGCGCCTCTGGTCCAACCAGTCTACCCACTCAAATCAACCAATCAGTCTTCTGCACCAGCCAAATCAACCAGTCAGACTTCCCTTTCCTCTCCGATCGCCCCATCAAATTCTTCAGCTATGGTAAAGCCCCCCTTTTCGTCAGGCGTTTCTGGTGCAAACTTCTCTGATTGGTCGCCATGGTCTAGGTGCTCAGCCACGTGTGGTCACCAAGCTGTCACGCATCGGAAACGAACTTGTAAGCTGATTGGTGCAAAGACTTGCCAAGGATCTAATACCGAAACAAAGCATTGTCAATCTCTTAGGTGTCCAGGTATTGCAAGAAAAAAATTAACAAATTTTAAGCCTATCTAGGATAGGCCTTGCTGGGAATTTGGAAACCGAAAAATTGAAGGAATTTATCAAAACATTGGGGTTATCGTAAGAGATGGACCATAATTTTTTTTTCAGCGGGTGAGGGAATGGACGATTTTCTGGTTCACGAATTTGTTTGTTCGCCTTCAGGTTGTGCACGATTTTTTTTCGTTGAGCAATAGTTTGTACGACAGTTATTTTTAACTTCAAAATCCGGACCTGCAAAGCGCTTGTTCGATTTTTTCCACTTGGCTTCCCTTGCACGATTTTTTCCAGCAGTTTTTGCCGTGTAGGGATGTTTTTGGGAGTTACCCACCCCTCCCACCTAAAAAAAATAATGGTCCGTCCCTAATGATACTTAAATTGGCGTGTAACACACTATATCACTAAACCAATATCCGCCATTTTGAATCCACCATGCTGGATTTAATAAATTTGTTGCAATATCGGACAGTGTCAAAATATGCTTAAAAAATGATTAAAAATGACGTGAAGATGGTAACACTGTTGAGAAAATAGAAGAAAGATAACCACAGTAAAGCCTCTGTATTTATTTACTACCGTAATTACGCTTCAAAGTAGAGATGGCTCTCACCAAAGAGCTCAGTCACGGCATTTTGAGTTATTTTGGCCAGGTGCAAAGTTTCTTTCAATCTGAAGAAAACCTGAAAATAGTAGTTTACTAAGATAGAAAAACACCAAAGAGATGATAATAAGCCAAAAAGGACCAAGGATGGTTAAGGATGGAGAAGATTAACGCGGATTACAAACGACGAAATTGAAAAATTTAGGCCAAACTTTTCAAGATTCTCAAACCCTGACTAGCTCCATTAAGGACTGATGATGTTTGTTTTGCTTACAGTTCATGGCGGTTTTTCTCCTTGGTCTCAGTGGTCACACTGCGCTGTGACGTGCGGTGGGGCGCTTAAGCGTCGACAGCGTAGCTGCAGTAATCCTAAACCAATGTTTGGTGGGCGGGACTGCTTGGGAGAGAGGGTACAGACAAGAAGCTGTGGAACGGAAGCGTGTTCTGGTGAGACTAAAAATCAGGCTGAGATTTAAGCAGACAATGAGACAATGAGTTTTTATAGTCTTTTCAGCGGCGTTTAGGGGACATACATTGCAGTGTAGTCAAAAAAACGTAAGGAGCTTGAAAATTTTATCAAGTCAAAAACAGAACATTTAGTCGGGAGATGGGAATGGCAAAGATAATTATACCACTTTTTGTTTAATTGGAATATAACGCCTTAAATATGATTACCATCAACGCAGTCTTTGTTGAGGACTGTCGATCAATTTTTGCTGACCAAGAAGTTGAATTTATTTTTGAGTGCTGGTTTGGGGTGGTCGGTTGGTATTGGCTAAAATCCCTGGGGTACTTGCAAGACCGGAATAGGGTTCTTGAAACTGATGCGGGGATTATGAACGCACGACCTCTGGAGCAAATAACTCTTGATCTGATCCTGGGGTCCTGGGTTCAAATACCAACGAACTTGAGCTCAGAGGTTTCTTGTTACGTTGGGGCCCAATGTTCTTGTTTAAAAGGTCACTAGCCAATTAAAAAAAAAAGCTATGAAAAATTTCCTGGGCATAATTTGAATCACTCTTATTTCTTGCTAAAAAGTGCTTTACGGCATACACAAACGCGTTGATTATGTGTTGAGATCTTTTCAAGTTCACTCCACCCGCTTAGTACCCATGACCGTAGTAGTAATTGATTTATGTTACATTTTTTTCAGTGAATGGAGGTTTAACAGGCTGGACTGCGTGGTCGACTTGTTCTAAGACCTGTAACACAAACACCGTGAGCATCCGAGAACGTTATTGCACCAACCCTCCCCCACAGGGTAAAGGAAAAGATTGCGCTGGTCAGCGGATGCAAGCGAGGGCATGCGCATCATCAATGTGCCCAGGTAAACTAAAGATTTAGCAAATGCTACAGGCCAAAAATGCTGCTTTTACGAGTAAGTGATAATATTTTTTCGCCAGCATAGAACAGCAGAATCGTCTAGATCAGTTACGAAATAGATTATGCAACATGGCCCTTCATGACAGAAATGTAACTTCTAATCATTTGAGTAAATAAAATAAGGAGAATCAAATTCGAATTTCTCATCAGAATACCAATACATTATCAAGCAAACAGGTGACGAGAGTAAAGAAACTCATCAGCTAAGTGATGTTGTCTTGATGTACTACGAAATTCTCAGAACTGACATTAACAGAAATGATGGCTATAAGTAGGAGAATTAATATTTTGAACTTAGGACTGAAAGGGTTAAAGGAGCTCAGTCACGTAACTTCCAGTTATTTAGGCCACGTAAAAAATTACCTTTAAATTGAAGGAAACCTGATTTTGCCTGATTTTGATGGAGAAGATTAACACGGATTACAAACCACGAACTTGAAAAATTTAGGCTAAACTTTTCAAGATGGGAAACTGTGAGGTAGCTCCGTTAAATATGTTACCTCCTTTTTCATATGTTGTTAAGTGGATCATGGCTACTTTAAAAACATATGAATCTGTATTTATACTCCTCTGATTAATTAAAGTTACAAAATAACGACAAATAGACTTTGCCTAGTGCCCTTCAAGGGAACGGTTAGGATCGAGCAGCAATTGTTGAAATTAAGTTGGCGTTTTAGAAAGCGCCCTCGCCTTTAACAATTAATTTGTACCGTAAAAAATTCGATCAAGTCCCTTCAATCAAAGTAAAAAAAAAAAAAAAAAAAATCAGACATAACAGAACAATTTTCAGAAACACTAACGTAAAACTGTTTCTTTGTAGTCGACGGTGGTTTGTCCGAGTGGTCTTCGTGGTCTCAATGCCGGCGCTGTGGACGAACACACAGGAAACGATTTCGGTCGTGTACTAACCCACCGCCTGTGAATGGCGGCAAACCTTGTACTTCTCCAGTTGTTCAAGTGCAAAGATGCCCCGTCAAGCAATGCAAATGTGAGTTTCTTTTCCGATGTTCAACACAAGTGCACATGAATGTCAAGTGCCAGGAACATAGAACATGGGGGTGGGGGAGCAATAACAAATTTATGCGGATGCGTCGATAAAATGGTCAACTAAAAATAGACTGATACGTCACTAGGTTTCGCGTGAACAATCGATAGAGAGTCGGTCTCAGTAACGACATATACGTCGGAATCGATCGTGGCCACTCCTAGAACCTACGATCCGATTCATGTAAGCAGCAGCTCTCATGATCAATTAGGGAGAACAAACTAAGAAAATATGTAATAAATGTAACGATAGAAGTCAACAAAGCTTATAGTATACAGACTTCCATGAGTAGTTGTTCAGGATTTTATGCCAAGCATGTATAATTCATGAAGACATGACTGATCATCGCAGTTCTACACACAACTTAAGTAGTTGCGATATTTAAGCCTGAAAAATAGAATATTCAGGCTTGAACGGGGACCTCTGCTTTACCGATGCAGTGCTCTACCAACTGAGCTACCAAGCCAACTGGAAGCTGGTCATGTCGAGAATTCGTAATATAGCAGTAGATGGTGAAGAATTTCATGTTATGCAGTGCGAAAAGGTGACAAATTGAACAGCTGTTTCACTCCTCAGCTACTTTAGGATTTGGCCAGTGGTCTTCATATAGTCCATGCTCCCATTCGTGTGATGGTGGAGTGAAAAAGAGGAGAAGAAGATGCAGAAGACCACACAAGGGTTGTTATGGACCACGGATACAAAGGAGACGGTGCAATGAACACAGATGTCCTGGTAGGTCAACCATTTTAGCTTGCAGTTATGACACTAATCGTATCTGTAACAAAATTCTCGATCGTGATTGGCTCTCCGCGCGCCTATTTGTCTCGTAATCGGCGCGCGATCACATAGGTGTCCAATTACAGGTGCCCGATTTGAACTTTTGTAATTGGATACCCGTAATTGGATACCCACATGATTCGCACGTCAATTACGCGCGCTTCAATGGCTTCCTTTGCAATGTTTCGTTCAGTTTTCAAAACTTCGGAAAAGGGCTGCAGACGTTTTCGCTCGTAAGAAGCTCTCAAAAGACATTTTTAATTCCGAAATTTGTTATAGATACGATTAATTAGTAATTGGACCTCGTGTCGTACAATTCAGGGAGTAATTGCGCTCGTAATTTCAAATCGGCCTCGCGCTTCACGCTCGTCTGATTTCGAAATTCCTTGCGCGATTACTCCCTGAATTGTACTCCACTCGGTCCAATTACTATTACTCATCGTAATGAATAAGAGCGAAAAGAAAGGTAAAGAGGGAACTGATGGATTTTGTTCCCCGGCTTGAGATGAACTGATTAAATGAGACGTAGTTAAGAGCAATTATTTGGTGACTGTCCCAATGCCAAAACAATTAAGACGAAATCCGGTATGACATCGAGCAATTTCAGTCTTTAGTGGACAAAAACGTGGTACCAGAATAATTTTAGGTATTTTACAGTCCTTTTTACATTTTGTTAAAGCTAAAGATATAAATAGTTGCCTGAAATGACACCAAAAACAATTGAGAACTCGGGAAAATAAATTTTAAAGTTCAGAAAACTTGCGCAAACACAGATAAAATTTCATCATTAGCTTCATTTCAACCGTTCAAGCGTTTCATACGAAGTTCAAGATTTGTTTTCGACACTTGGTGTTGTTAGAAATGATTTTTTGAGATGATATTTAAAAAAGTCGCACAGAAGTTTGTATTACGATGTAAATAGTCTCGCAACAAAGTTTTTGTCCACTTGTTACTCGAAGTTCTGGTGGATGCCTTCTCAATCACTGAAACTCGTCACGATTAATGTAAATTGCTCAATGAACCAATAAGATGTCACCTTTGCCAAGCGCGGGAAAATGTGTGCGTCCCAAATCAGGATTGAATTTGGTTCTGCTCCTGATTGGTTGAAGGAAATCGGGATGTTGGATCCGAATGGCTAATGAGTGTAACACGATATTGCGTTGTTACAGACCCAAAAAAGCACAAATTCAGAAGCCAAACAGACGGAGGAGCTGAGGGGGATGCGGAAGGGAAAGCCGAGGGGGATACAGAGAGCTTCCTGCTTCCCGGACAGTTCACTCCCGGATCCGGCCCTGCCCGCTTCAGGGTATCCGTCCACCTGAGTACTCCAATTTCCCTCCATCTCCTATCGTATTTCGCTAAGAGCCACCCTAGTTTTCTGCCGGCTTATTCTCCCGGTTCAATGCCTCTCCACCCGTTAACCTCGTACGGCAACATTCCTAACGAGATGAATTTTGTACCAGGGCGGTTTCGAGGAAGAGAGGTTCCATTCTCTCAGCAGTTTAATAGAGTCAACTCTATATCAAGGTCCGTGTATTGATTAGTAAATATAATTATAAATTGTCCACAATGTTCTCTATCTCTTGAATTCTAGATGGGAACTACCTTGTGCGAGCTGATCCTGTTGAGCTGTGTGGACATAACCCATGCAAGGTGGCAAAATGCGTTACAAATCCCTCGGCAATGTGCGTCAGCAGATTCAACTGTAATCCGATCTTCTTCAACAGAGAAGGACGAATAATTAAATCGTGCAAAGGTAAGAGTAAAAGACAGGAAAAGACAAAATAAAACATCAGCACGTCATTTGGGAGGCGCGGTGGCCTCATGATTAGTGCGCTCGCCTCTGGGTTCGAGCCTAAGCCGGGGACATTGTGTTGTGTTCTTGGGCAAGACACTTCACTCTCACAGTGCCTCTTTCCACCCAGGTGTGTAAATGGGTACCGGCGAACTTAATACTAGGGGTAACCCTGTGATGGAATAGTATCCCGTCCAGGGGGAGTAGAAATACTCCTAGTCGCTTCATGCTACAGAAACCGGGATAAGCTCCGGCGCGATGGGCCCCCTTGGCTCGTATGTAGACTTCACCACGATTTGACCCGAGCCTGGACGCATGTGTGCAGCCAATATTACCCATGGAGTAATCTTGTGTGTAGTTACTCGTTTGAAATTGTATGGTTTTGGTGGTTCTGTCTGAGTGAAGAAGATTAAAGCTGGATTTGCTTATTTTATTCCTTCGTGACATAGATCTGATATTTCTGGGATGGTCTTGTCAGGCTACTCTACAACTTCCGATTCGTAGTTCTCTAGTTCTTTATTCCCCAAGCTGATTAGCCCTCAGCCGTCAACTTGATAGATGATTAACCCCCACTTACGTTAAGCAGTGAAACTCAGTACTTTTATCATTGATTCATTGCCTAATGTTATGATTCACTCTGAATTTGCTCCGTCTAGGAAACTCCATCGTTTTATCAGTTCCTCCAGAACAAGTCTGCCGTTTTAACCCTTGTGAAAAGTCTGCATGTTTCACCAGCCAAGCTGAGCGCTGCGCAGTATCGTACAAATGTAAACCCATCTTCTTTGGAGCAGATGGTCAAAGATTGAACTGCAGAGGTATAGAAGGCATCAATTCAGAATGGAATGCTTTTTTGTCCTTAAAGCTCTGGTTTTATTTGAATAAGAGCGGTTTTCAATTGAGTGTCGAAAGTAATCAGGCAATTACCTTTGTTTTGAGGTTTGGTTTTATTACGGTTTGAGATTGGCTAGTAGTCTAATTGGTAAGTAATTAGTTTGGATTTGGTCTCATGACACACAATTGAAAGCCACTCTGTCTTAAAATGTGAAGGCACGACAGAGCGGTTGTTCAATTGCGTGTCGTAAAATGAAGACCAAAGTAATCACTCTGGCCAATCACAAACGACGCAGACAATACAGTGAACCAATCAAAACTTGAAGTACATAGTGGTCAATAGCGTGAAAGGAGGGAAAACGTGTAAGAGCGACTGTGGTGGAACTGGAAGAGGGGGAGGAGATTTTCGGGGGTTCGGTCGAACCGCCTAAATTAAAATAGTTAGAAATTATCACACGCTGACTTGGCCCCAGAAAGCCGAAAACCCCATTTCCGACGACCTCAATTTTAAACATCTTCCGGGGGAGGATGCCCCCGGATCCCCCCACAGGGGATCGCCGCTTCGGCGGTCTGTATCTCAAGGCCCCTTCTCTAAAATCCTGTATCCGCCCCAAAACGAGTCACAATTGCTTTAAATTTTACTATTAATTGGAGGACGAAGTGCCGTGAGAATTGTAAGCCACTCGCCAGAGAAAATGCGAATTACTTTTGACTTTCAAATGAAAGCCACTCAAATACATGCATGCATTAACTTACTATGCTGTCTTATTACATGCAGGCATCTTAACAGTAGGAGCTATGGAGGCATGTGGCTTCGATCCATGCTTCGAAAAGGCATGTAAGGTTGACCTCACAGCTCGCTGCGTGAGTGATTCGGACTGTAGACCAACTTTTATTTCCAAGACTCAACAAATACTGGACGAATGCGTAGGTAAACAGAAATTCGACACGATCTAACCCTTGCCAAATGGACTAACTCACTAAAACGTTTTTGACAAAGTTAACCGTTGGTGTACTAAACTTTGGAGGTACTTTAAGAAAAGTCTTCGTTTATTTGACAAACTCACCATTTTTTTTCGATAGATTGTATTAACGTTTTCGTATTTTATTTCTTGGCTTTCAAGAGGACGCAGAGGACTCCGATTCAAACGACGAGGAAGGCAATGACGTAAACAGCGATACCGACGACGAAGAAAAGAGTAATGACACAGAAAAAGACGATGCGGATGTTGAAGACATTTCGGAAACAGACAGCGACGATAATCATGATGATGATGATGAAAATGACAATAAGGGTAATGACGATGATGAAAAAGATACAAATAGGCAGAAGAAACGAAAATCGCACACGAAAAGTGAAGATGAAGATGGTGATGATGACGACGATGATTCTAAGGAAACCGAGAGTGATGATGATAAAGATGATGACGACCAAGATTCCAGTAACACCAGAAAGAAGAATACCACTCCAGTGGTCAACCTGAAAGACGAGTCGTTACACGATGGTATGGTCAGCGGTATGGGCTCGGAGATCTCGTTCGTCTCAAAGCACGGACCTGCTAAGTTCTATTGGCTGAAAGGCGGTGGCAAGGGTTCGAATAATCACACCGAAATGTAAGCATGATTAGGTGATACTGATTTGCTCATCACTGTCATGTTTCTTGAAATGGTTCCTGTGTTATCGATTGGCTTGCGAAATCCAGGAAAGAATTGGATTTTTTTAATTTAAAATTATTAACTTGAAAAACTAAACTCTAAAATTAAACGGCATATATCTATTAATCCACTGTTGTCCCTAACACTGATTGTTTCAGACACCTATTGCTAGCTTTCATGAAGTGTTGGAAGGGATGGCCACAGAGCATTTCAAGGAAATTTTAAAAGACTCTAGTCATTAATTCTTCTGCTAGTTGTTGGCCAACTCTGCGAACTGTAATCGCCTGAAACACGAAATCCCCCGTAATCACCTTAAATCGCCCTAAATCACCTTCAACCACCAAAGATCTCTCAAAGTTTTCCTAAGTCGTGCAATGCTAGCTAATGCTATAAAGGCTTATGCAACTTTAAGTAATCTTCACTTTTTCTAGCAATATTGGTTTGTTGAGAATCTCCTTTTTAGTTGTCCACCCTGTGAAAATTGGTAGTACACACACTGACAGACTTAGTGGATTTAGGGTGCGTTCCTTTGGGGTGATCTGGATCAGGATCGGTAATTCAAGATCACTCGGATCATAATTCATCAAAGGAACCGATGAATCCATGACCAGAGTAGATTCATCGGTTCCTTTGATGCCCCATAATCCGAAGGATCTTGGATCACTGATCCTAATCCAGATCACCCCAAGGGAACGCACCCTAAGTCTGTACTCCAGGAAAAACACCTGATTGGTCAATTTAAATGACGTAATAGCATTTTCATAGTTAACTAAATATGCAAAATTTTCGGAGAGCAATTCGTAAGGAAAAGGGAAGAAAAATTCTAACTGTCTGGCGTTTTGAAAGGGTTTGACGTATTATATCAAACACGAGGGAAAGTGTTTCATCGGGGTATCCAAACACCGAGAAGAGAGTTGAAAATACGACGCGCAGCGGAGTATCTTTGACGAAATTCGAGGTGTTTGGATAGCCAATGAAACACTGTCTCGAGTGTTTGATATATCTTCTCAATCGAAACAAAAACTAAGGAGTAAACAGAGAAGTAAAATTGTCAAAATCTATGCTAATTAAGACCGGGTATCCAAACCTCCTTCACGGTTGTGATTTTCTTTGTTTTAACTTGATGAATTATTAATGAGTTTGAGAAAAAGAGATCTTTTTCGCATTAATATTCCATTCAGTACTTACAGAATACTTACATAATCTCTTGACTCCGGTTAGCCTGAATATAATATTTCTAGTTTTCCTGATAACTATAGTTGATTCTTTGTCAGTGAACTTACATTTGTTTTATTAAGACGGATTCCACTCAAAGTTCGAGCAATAAGTGCAAAAATTATTTACTAAAAATCTGCTCACAGCACGGTAACTTTTTTTAATACTATTTAAAACATCTCACTTTAATTAATTTCTCTAAGCGAACCCCGCGATTAAATTCTCAAGCATTCTCGAAAAAGTTTATGTCGAACCTTGTAAGAATGCTTAATGCGTGTGTTATTGTATTTTCAATTATAACGCGAAACGTCTGTTTTAATTGAAATATGGATAACTTCAAGTTCAATTTTCTCTCGCGGGGTCTCGATAGGTTCTTCAGTTTTACCTTTTTCAAAATATTACCCTGCTCTGAGGTTTTTTTGGTAACTTTATTTTTGCCACTATTGCTCAAATCTTCAGCGGAAATCATCTTAAATATTTAAATCATCTGTCCTTATTTTCAGGCTTGTTATTGAAGCAACAGAAAGTAAAAAGTCTTCTGTGTTATCTTCTCCAACATCACGAAGGCCAAAACCAAAGGAAAAGTCTAAGGTAAATTCAAATGACCTTGTCGATAACATAATAAAAAGACGTAACTAAATGTATCTATCCATTTTCCCAGTGTTATCTTATTGGAGCTTTTGTATTGTTTTACACAGACACGACTCGTAAACGACAAGACTACTCGTCACCGCAGGAAGATATGATGTGTCCAATAAGAACTTCTCTGATTTTACAATGTTACTGTCAAATACCAATTATCAATGAGGCTGCGAGGTGTAGGTTTCTAACAGTAGTGGTCTTCTCAGCCAATTGCCAACAGTCATGATAATCATGTTAAGAAAATCCTTATAATCCTTGTGCTCGGAAAAGTGAAAACTTTTTTGCAAAATAACTTCTGGCTTAAAACGTAGGCATATATATGTCGTGCTTCTGCTGTGACGTTATTAACATTTTGCATGTAAGCTTAAGAGCTAGTTTTTACTGATTAGTTTTCTAAGTACCCTTGAACCTTATCTTGATGGAAGTTTCCATGCCTATAGATACATTGTTTTGGTTTTGAAGACGAGGCATTTTAAAATTCTGAAAGTGCGCAACAGATATGACAACATTTTTAATTTAAACTGTTAGCAATAGAGAAAATCAGCTAGGATAGTGGCTAGAACTTGCCTTAACTCTTGTTCTTCGGGCTGGATTGCTGGTGCACTCGAACTTAAGTTATCATATGGCGCGCTAACTTCGCGATCAGGCAAGATTAACCAAATCATGTGCTGAGATTGGCTACCTGAGTGGCATGCAAGATGGGCTATCTGGTGTGCTCGGAATTGCTAACTATACATGTGTGCATGCTACATGTACATTGTGCTCTGTGTGCCATATATTGAATCCTTTTTTGACCAAGCTTGTTGCAATTAACATGGCTGGATTATTATTACTGGCCTTGATCTTGTTTATGTATGGAACTCATTAGACATAAATAAGCCGAAAATATCTTGGTCCTCATCTTTTTTGGTGTATGAACTCCATCTTCCTGTCATCTTGACTGAACAAGCTAAGTTATTGACCCATATGTACTTAAAACTATTACAGTTGTTTTTTTTAAGTGTTACCACTAAACATTTAATTGGTTAAATCTTATTTGTAATATTATTTGATAATGCTGTTTAGTAATATGAGTATTGTTCATAATGAAATCATATTGTAGAAGTGAATGGATTTTAAACCAAATTTCAGTAAAAGATGAAATTTTTCAACTTCGTGTTATTGTCATATTGGACTCAGATGTACATGTATGGAACACCTTGAAAAGTTACTAAGCTTAAATTTCTCAACTCATGGAGTTTTCATTGAATCTTATTGCACATGAGAGCTCCCTTCGACTAACATGCCCCAGTTGCTGTGAACATTATGATAGTATTTTATGCCTAATGGCTGACTACCTAACTACCTATAAATTTCCTGCCAGAAGGTACGGAGAGGGAGGTTCGGTCCGGTCACAACAGACTTCAACTAAAATATCAATCCGTGAAGGCGTGAATGAAAGTGGATCACAATATCCCGGAGGAGGGGTTCTCCCGCCTACCGGGGACACCGTTACGGCATATGTGAACATTATCGTCGAATCGTAATCTGTCCCAGCAGGAGCCATAATCGGGGACGGAGACCGTAAGTCTTGGGATTCGCGCGCACCTATGATATGGGACAATTTTTCTATTTTTAGAACAAATTGCGC